CGCTCCTCATTACTTCTATTTCACCAATATTGAACCCCTTTATTTACACACTGAGAAATAAACAAGTAAAGCAAGCTTTTCTTGACTCAATTAAGAAAACTGTATTCCTCTCAAAGATGTAAAGGAAAAATGAGTCAGTGAATCTTAATTAGATGATCAGGCACAAAACCTGAAGCTTCTGATGCTGTTTGTCCCTGTAAAATGTATTCTCCAGTCATATTGACATTGTATAATTTTCTTTTTAAACTTGCTTACTGTGAACCCTGACTGTTCCATCTTTCATTCTTCACTGAAACTAAACTCAGGATGCTTACTCTCACCATCTGGCAGAAACTGCTACTTGCCAAACGTATCAGTTGTTACCTGCTGGAAATACGCTACACCACATTTTTCTGACATGCTGCTCAGTGTGGCTATGCAGCCTCTGTTACAGCTAACAGAATGGGTGTGGAAGTGCTGTGAACCATTTTTAGATCGAGTCTATAAAAATACCCAACATGGCAGCCACCCTCTGTTTTCCCTCTTCTATCTTCCAGATGTCCATGTTGAAATGACTTTGTCAGCTTCACTTTGATGATGAATGAGCTTGGTTTTCCAGTACCTCTATAGTCTTTACCTAAAGGACAGGCAGTCACAGCAAGCTTGGTAATGCTTCCCCTCTGCCCTCTGTGCAGGGAGTTGTCACCAAATTCGACAGGTAAAGTATCACAGAACTATTCCTGCCACCTAGTTAAGGGGGCCACATTCACAGTTAGCGCTACACTGGGTACAAGGCTGAAATTACGACCCACCCGAAGTATCATTACAGGTATATGCTGCTAAATTTGGTAGTATGGATATTTTGATTGACTACTGGCATCCTCCTCCTCAGACACACATAAATTTATGTGACTGTGTGAGGAAAATTTGTATTTAAAATAATATGTATAAAGTTGTGAAGCTGCAGTACTAGCCACCCTCTTCCTTATCTACTGATCCTATAAACCTTTCCAGGGAAGTGCCTGTATTACTTCCTCTCATTTCACTGTGAGGAGGCAATTATTTAAATAAAATTCTAGCCTTTAATGTTTGCCAACCACTTCTTTTAAATAGCTAGTGTTTAAACGTCCCTTTCCAATTTTCAATGAGTCCACTGCATGTAACATGTCTATGCAATACTTCATTTTCCTTGACCCTTTATGTACACTGGTAGTATGAAAGTGACTTTATCAGAAGAAATATATTCAAGAGACCCTCAAGGTTTTCGTGCAAGTAGATGTTGGTCCCTCAGCCAATCTCTTTCAGTTTCCATAAGCCTAACTGAGGGACTAAACTTAGCCCCCTGTACAAAAATTTGCCAATCATAATCTTTCAGGCTAAAATAAATTGAAGAAATCTGAATGTGGAGCTAAAGTGGCTTTCTCACATCCTACAATTGGTATTTCACAATTAATTCTTTTGGTTAATCCTGATAATTCATCTTTTTCATACTCTCCAAAAGTTGTCTAAACAACTTATTGATTTAGCCAATTACCACTTTGACCCCATCTTTTCACTTCTTCCCTTTGACTGATCACTCCCTTGGATAATATCAATCTTGTTTGTTTCCATCAAAGGTATTTTTTACCTCATGAGACAACTGAGAATTCAAGTACAGCTTCCTGAATATTACTTTAATATTCTGAGAATAAATTGAT